TCAAAGGACAAGGTAGAAGGCTAGCAAGTTGGCTTAGTAGGAAAAGGTGTTTGCCACCAAGACCGATTCCCTGAGTTTAATTCTGAGAACCCACATAATGAAAGAAGAGAACTGACTTCCAAAGTTTAATATTTAAAGGGGAGGTTTAAAATACTGCTTCATAGTCCATATAACTATCTGCTCATTCAAAATGCTTGAATTTGCATAGAATATATTAGAAAATACAGGAAAGTTTCAGATAAAGAAGAGATGAGCATAACCTTCTCAAAGAGAAACTTTGTAAAGTGATGCAAATATCCAGCTTAGTCCATTTCTATGCTCTTCACTTTGTGACTTCAGGGAGAATTACCATTGCTTCTTCAGACCACCAAGCATGCAGTGGGCTTTGCTTTGAACTGCACAATTAGGGCTCATTTTTTAATGAAGAAATTACCTTTATTAAAAAAAGAAGGTCTAGGACAATCCAACAGTGTGGTCACAGCCTCCATTGTCAGCAGAATGTCAATGTATAGATAGCTACTTGTTAAATTTCTCATTCCTGCTTAAAATTGGGCTTCCTACTCAGAGCCCATGAATGTGCAGAATACGGGACAGTTATTGACAAGGTAACCCTGTCACAGATGTGGCCCTGAGCAGTGAGCCAGTGCCTCATGATGTGTGTGCCTCTGCCAGTTTTATTTTGTTCTAGTACTTTCTAGATTCCTAGTGTCCCCCAAACTTTGCTTCCCAGAGGTGTGGAGGGAATGAGCTCATCCCCTTTACTGGGTGGAGAGGTGTCAAAAGTAAGCTGACACCTCTAGTACCTCACATCACACGCAGGCTTGGGACAAGTCAGACTGAGTTCAAAGCAGTTTCAGTGTTCAGGGTGACAGTACTGGACAGTAAGTTCAGACCACACCCATGTCAATTTATAAGACTTAGGAACTATCAAGGAAGACTTCAAATGTCTGTGAGGCAGAATCTCACCAATATGACACCAATGCTGTTCAGTTCCATCAGGTCCCCATTTATACTGCTGGTATTGGTTTGGAGCAGGCTGGATATCAACCTAATCACATTCAACCGAGTGTTCCCAACAGGAGGGTCCAGTATACCCCATGTAGTCTTCATCACACTTTTCTGAGGAAGAAAAAGCTTTCAAATTAAATTCATCTAAATGAATAAACAAAAAGTACATGTGCTGACACAGAAAGTAAGCTAACACCCAACTATTTAGGCCTGAGAGACTTGCAGCTGGAATCTTTACAAGAAGCCAGAAACAACTACATATAGTAAAAGGTGAGTGTTTGCTCTGAGAAACATGACAGATGGCCCGTTCTTGTCTAGAAAGGGAGTTTCAAAAATCTGAAATGAAAAGACAGAAACAGATACTGCAGCATTTTAGACATTCTAACAGGAAAGAGTAACAAACCAAAATGCCCTCCCTGAAGGTCCCACACAAGCCCCTCCTACTTACTTATCTGAAGAACCCATATAGTAGAATGGAAGATAACCTGCTCCTACAAATTGTTCTCTAACCTATACAAACTTTTTGAAAAAAACAAAACAAAACATAGCATGTAATGCTAATTAGGGTCAGTCTCTTATTTCCAAGGTTCTCAGACTGCCTAAACCAAAGCTTTATACTTGCCCACTCTCCTCTCCTGGCCCAACCCTTACAGTTCCACTCCATGGAACTCAAAAACTTCCTAAAAGGTTTCATGATGCCTAGGGGTAATTACCTTTTCCTTACTCTTACTCCAAGGACTGCCAAAAAGGATGCCACTGGCATTTAGCTGCTAAACACTGAAAATGGTTTCCTAGGGTGAATGGACTCAATGAAGGTGCAGAGATCTGGATGGAATGGGCCCAGCAGGACCCTGAGCACAGAGAAAACTGCTAGGTACTCACAACAGCACTGGGCATCTGAACAACAATTTGGAAGCTAATGAGACCCTTGAGATATGGACTTAAGGTATTCTGCTGCCCTGTCCCCTAAAAAGATTAAATGTGGTCATCTGTACAAGAATGGTCCCCACGGAGTCATATATTTCAATTTTTGGTCCCTAGTGAGTTGTCACCAGGATTAGGAGGTATGGCCTTCTTGGAGGAAGTGTGTCACTGGGGATGGGCTTAGAGGTTTCAAAAGTCCATGCCAGGGCCAGTCTCTCCCTCTCAGCCTTAAGATCGGGATGTAGTCCTCAGCTACTGTTCCAGCACCATGTCCCTTATCCCCATGATGATAATGAACTAAGACTCTAAAACTGTAAGTAAGACACAATTAAATGCTTCCTTTTATAAGAGTTGCCTTGGTCATCGTATCATTTCACAGCAACAGAACAGTAACTATGTAGCAAGACCTCATAGAAGCAACAAATTCACATACTAAATTCTCAATGAATTATACCAATATATACACAACAAATGACACTGGATTCAAATGTACAGGGTAAAAGAAAGGGCCATGGAAGACCCAACACTAAAGCAATGTGATTGATTCCTAGTGTGACTCTGGCAGATCTGAAGTTCCACTGTGTGTTCAGTTCTGCACACAGATGTTCCCCAGGGAAAAGCAACAACCTGTGCTAGGTTCTTTCCAGGTTGTACACTAAGACCTTAGTAGACCGTATCCCCATTAAAACATTATCTGCCCATACTGTCCTCAAACTCTTACGAAAATGCAATTTCAAAACTCAGATCATGAAAGGTTAACTGTATCTCAAAGGCCTAAAAAGAGTATGTTACAAATAGGAAAATGTTTATTTTACTGATATACAGGTACTCAAGGATTTATAAAACAAAAATCTGAGTTTACTATCTAGGTATTTTTTATTCTAATTTTCCCTCATTTTCTAATTTGGATAAGGCATATGGATAAAAGTCAATTGAAAAACTAGTTTACAGTAGGCACAGTGATATATACTCACAAGGCTCAGGCAGGATGATAGCGAGTTCAAGGTCAGCCTGGGATACAGAGCAAGACTGTGCCCAACAAAACAAAACAAACCAATCACCAACAAAATAGCTCAGAGGTAGCAAAAACTAGTAGTGTACCTTTAAATATATTATGCAGGCTGAGGAGATGGCTCAGTGGGTGAAGCATTTTCCTCCTAGCTTTGGAGTTCTATCTCCCAAATCCATAAAGTCGAATGGAAGGCTTTAACTGGTGCACACATACACATACTTTTAAAAAACACACTATGTGATGCTAATTATGATGAATCTCTTATTTCCAAGGTTCTCAGACAATCTAGCGACTGCCTAAAACAAACTCCTGGCTGCCAGTAACACAACAGCAACCCTACCTTGGGTGGTTCAAGCAGGAGTTCATGGAAAGATCCAAGTCTTCCTCGGATGGCTTCTAGAACACTCTTGTTAACTGAACAAGCTGAGTGACCCATACCTGGTGGGCAGATTTCTATATGGCCTTCAAATCTGGAAAACAAATTGAGGTAACAACTGTAATTCATAATAATTCACTCAAGTTCTCCATGTCAACTCTGTAGGTATACACTTCATGGATCTATGACTATATTATGGTAAAGTCAAGGAAGAAGCCAACAAACAAGTAATTAGACTGATGAGATTGGCTACCATGCCTTGAGAACCTACAGGGTTTAAGGTATGGGGTGAGATACTATGTCACATCTCCAGATTCCCCTGAACCATTTCTCTCCTGTAACTACCATACTGAAAGCAGGTCTCTAACTGAGCAGAAAATGTGGAGGACTGCCCCAAGTCACGGGACATAATGCATTACTGCCAGCTGGAAATGTTAACAATAAGCGAGCCCCTACTTATATCCCCTAGAATATTTTTAGATAAACAACACTGATTTCTATTTAAAAGGTTTAATTTGTTCTATGTAAAATGTAGTCTTCAACCATTACAACTCATCTCTGGGAGGGAGGGAGGGAGGGAGGGAGGGAGGGAGGGAGGGAGGGAGGGAGGGAGGGAGGGAGGGAGGGAGGGAGGGAGGGAGGGAGGGAGGGAGGGAGGGAGGGAGACTGACCCTGTCCATCTCTCATCTGCCATGTAGTGGCATGGATGAGGAAAAAAGTCCCCCCTCTCCTCATTCCTTGCCACCTGCAGCAGGTGGGAGAACTGGCCCTGCAGCCCACCAGTTACAGCACATGGCAGGAGAGTGGGCACAGCATCTCACCCGGGCAGCAAAGGTGAGCTAAGCCTGTGAGTGTAACAGTAAGAGAGTTACCCCTCCCCCCTCCCTGGTACACCACTGCATGACAAGGGTAAAGGAAATGCCCTCCTCTCTAAGCCTTGCCACTTGTGACAGGCAGGAGAGCCAACCTTGAGGGCATGAGAACTGAAGCACTGATCCTGGCCTCATCAAGTGCAGCAATCCAGAGAGCGGGCACTGCACTTCATCTGAGTAACATAGTAGAGCTGTTCCTGGTGGTGTGATGAGGGTGTGCGAACTCCTTGCAGTCTGCTACATTGGGTGAGCTAGCAGAATCAGTGCTGGAGAGCTTTGCAGGGATGGTGATAAGGGAAAACTCGCAGGCTGACCAGCCCAGCTACCACCAGGCCCAGAACCAGGACTATGCTATGAGGGAGCCCATCACAATACTGACTCACCTCATCTATGAACTGCTAGAGCATGTGAAGAGGATGAACCTACAAATCCAAACCTACAGGATCTCCATGACACTAGGCAACAACAGGACATCCAAGAGGAGTATCAGGGATATAACAGAAGCCAGAGGTCTCGAACCAGACCAGGGACTCATTGCAATGAATATTTACAAGTAAAGACAAATGGACTAAAGGGTATGCTGTGTGACTCACTGGGTCACACTACAGCTTCCATGCCAAGATTTTTTTAATTGTTTTTTTTTTTTTTTTTTTTTTAGTTTTACTTTTAAATTTTGCTTTGCTGGGAGGTTGCAAGGGCAGAGGGCAGAAGAAGCAAGGGGACAGGGAGATGAGTGGGATCAGGATGCATGAAGTGAAATCCACAAAGAATTAAAAAAAACCAAAAAACTACAGATGAGACCAGGCAGTGGTGGTGTGTGCATTTAATCCTAGCACATGCAACAAACAAACAAAACCAAAAAAACTACAGATGGAGCAAGACTTGCAATTTCCGCTAGCATTGTGACTACAAGGGGACAGTAGTTCTCAAACTGGGGGAAAGGATAGGCCCAGGAAGGGAAGGTATGATGAGATGGAGGTATGATACTACCTTTACTGTTACAGTGAGATTGCTTGTGTGACCTGTTCAATTATCAGTTAATTACTGATGATTAACAAAACGAACACTTGAGGATGTCTCTCCTGGGACAGCAATGAGAAGCCAATCAGCAGACCAAGGGCAGCACACCTCCTGGCACACCTGGAATCAGACAGTGCTCACTGCAGCAATGACTTCTGGAGAGCACTACCTGTGCTTAGTTAGCTCCATGTAGCTCTGAAGGCAGCTTTCAGAGGCACAATTCCTGAAGAAAGGGGAAGAGCGATCCCTATGACTGAGTGTTAGCTCCTCTAGAGAAATGCCACCCTAATCCTCACAGGCTGTGGAAACTGTATTTGGGGAAAAGTCCTCTGAAGGTATAATTAAGGACTTTGAGATGAAAGATTAACCTGAACTGTGCAGATGGACCACAGTGCTATCATAAGGGTACTTAGAGAATAGAAGACATAAACACACGCAAACTATACACACACACACACACACACACACACACACACACACACACACACACACACACACACACACACACACGGACAAATGAAACAATGGCTACAGGTCACAGAGCTGCCAAATGTCAGTAGAAACTGAAGAGGCAGGGAACCATTATCTCTCTGTGCCTCTCTGGGAATGCAGCACTGCCAACACTGCAATCTTTAAAATCTGGCATCGAAGACTGTTGCTCTAGGACCCAGACCCTGAACAATAGGTTGCAATCCAACATAAGATAATGTAATTGACTATGGGGGGAGGAGGGATGGAAAAACATTTGATGACAAAAGACTTCTGAATGTACACAACAGGCAAATACTAATTCAAAATCAAATGTTTAACGAATCCAAGGGGTTTCTTATAGAACTCATCATGTGACTTCCTGGCTGCCTGGGATCTATGCCAATAAAGGCTACAGAAGTACCACGTCTTAGTTGGGGTTTTATTGCTGTGAAGAGACTCCATGACCATTGCAACTTTTATTTTTGTTTTTGTTATTCAGACAAGGTGTCTCTGTGTAGCTTTGGGGCCTGTCCTGGAACTTGCTCTATAGATAAGGCTGTCCTCATACTCAGAGATCTGCCTGCCTCTGCTTCCTGAGTGCTGGGATTAAAGGTGTGCACCACCAATGCCTGGCATGGCAACTCTTATAAAGGAAACATTTGACTGGGGCTAGTTTATAATTTTAGAGCTTTAGTCCATTATCATCATGGAGGAAATATAGTGGCCACAGACAGATATGATGCTAGAGAAGGAGCTAAGATTTCCACATCTTGATCCACAGGTAGCAGAAAGAAATGTGTCCCACACTAAGCAAAGCTTGAGCATTGGAGACCTCAAAGTCTGCCCTCACAGTGACATACTTCCTCCAACAAGGCCACACCTCCTAGTAGTGCCAGTCCCAAGGGGCGTCATTTTCTTTCAAACCACCACACACCTTGGCTCAGATCTGAGGCTATGGTCTGCTATTGTGTTTCATTGTGTACTCTTCTGCTCTTAGACAAATATGATTTATTACTATATTAATTATAATAATCACAACATGATAACACTAAATTAGTAAATGATCAGATCACATGTTAGAATGTTTTATTTTAAAACTGTGGTTGGAAGTTAATGATGAGGTTAATTAAAAAACAAACAAACAAACCATTAAGTGAACACTTGTGCCAGGCAGTAGTGGCGCACACCTTTAATCCCAGCACTCAGGAGGCAGAATATGCAATAGTGGGAGCCTGAGCTCCTGCCTTGGCTCCTCTCAATGACGAGACTATAACCTGTAAAATGAAAGAAACCCTTGCCTCCCCAAATTGACTGGTCACATCATTTGTTACAGGCAGCAGAATTCAAACTAGAACACAAGGATTATGATTTGGTGCCATGTCTAAGAAAAATGCCTGAGTCAAAGATTTTCTTCTGGAACTTCTACAGTTTTAGGGTTAATTTCTGGTTGCATAATATATTTTGAATAAGTTTTTCTATAATCTTTTTTTTTTGGCATAATAAGGTCACATATACTGCCGCACAGGCAGTCATTGAAACTTTACCCTATCCCCAATACACTGCCTCCACATCCCTATCAGAACTTTGTGTGTGTGTGAGAGAGAGAGAGGAGAGAGAGGAGGAGGAGGCGGGGGGGGGCGGGACAAACAGGCAGGCAGGCAAACAAGACCAAAAATAGGGTTTCTACATAGACTTGGCTTACTATGCCTAGCATTTGACATATCATTTAATCTGCAATCTATGGTCAGACAGTTTTATATTAGTCTTCCCTATCTAGATGCCATTTTCTTCTTCTGCCTCACTATACTGGCTATAATCCTTGCAAAAGATTTGCTGATGTATGTGAAGGAAGTTAAAGAAATGATGGCAAGGTAGGGTTTTTGTGTGTGTGTGATTATATGGTGATTTTTGAGTGACAAATGAGCCTTTCAATCACTTGATTATGTCATATTATGCTTTTAGTATATTATTTGATAGCTACATATTTTGTTTTAGGGGAGTGTACAAGCATGTGTGTGGCTGTGTGCCTCTGCATGAGCAAGGAGAACAGAGGGTATCTGGTGTGCTGCTCTATCACTATTCACATTCCTTCAGACAGTGGTCTCTCACTGGACTTGGAGCTATGCTGGGAGCCAGCAAGAAGCTGCAGTGAGTCTCTTGTCTCTGTCCACCCTAGCACTAGGGGTACAGGACACTCACTAAGCTATCTCCAGGACTAATAGATGTATTTGGTCAGCTACTATTTTCTTAAGGCATTTTCACCTAGCTTGTGTGTACTCTTGTTATATGTAATGGTTTATTCACATCTACTTCAGTTAGTTTCAAGATTATGCTGGCTTTTTAACAAGGGTTTGCAGTGTGTTCCTTCTGCACACTGATAGATCTCTACTCAGAATTCATCTGTCACACCTAACTCTACAGGCGAGGACTGTGCTTTCTGAAGGGTTTAGCATGAACTTGGTTTCTTCAATGGCTTATAAAATAGAGCTATTTCTTCTTCAGTAATCTTTTGTAGGCTTTTTCCCTTAGGTTTATTTATTTTATTGGTCATTTCAAAGAATCAGCTTTCAGTTTAATTGGATTTCTGTATTTGTTTCCTTCTTGATACCACTGATTTTGACTCTTTAGTTTTATTATTTCTCTTCTACCTGGGCTTAATTTTTAAAAGGTTTTATGGGCTGGAGAGATGGCTCAGTGGTAGAAGAGAAGCAACTTTTAAAGTTGTCCCCTGACCTCCACACACGCACTATTTGGCAACACACACACGCACACACACACACACACACACACACACACACACACACACACACACTTTACGAAAACATAATTGAACTACTGTGTCAACATGAGGAAACTCAGGGAAGATGCAGCTAAAATAGGTAACTTAAGCGCTGTAGTGTAGAGTCATGCCTTATTTTTTTTAGCTCTGTTAAAACAATCTGGAACCTACTCCAATTTTTGGCATGTGAGTTCTCACATCACTGCCTTTCTTGGCTGTAACACAGCAGCAGGTTTCCCACCATGTATCTTCCACTTGTACTTTTTGGGCCTTGGTGACAGGACAGCACAAGGTGGGGGGACAGTTCTCCCTCTGCCCTCACACCTTTCATCTCAGACTCTGTCTTCACAGATGAATTGCCTAGCAATCTGATGCTCTTCACAGGTAATACTTTCTTCTTAAGCAGATAATTCTGAGCCTTAACCCTTTTTCCCCAAGATTCAGAAATCTCACTAAAATCAAGTGAGTATCCGAGATCTAACTGTGATTTACCTTGCTCAGTGTTCAAAGATGAAAGCTTCTTCACAGAAGCTTTGCCTGTTCCTCCTCTTACTGCCATCATGGTACTGTGCTTTCCTCAGATCTGCTAAAAATGCCATGTCTCCTATTCCTCCGGTTTCTTTCTTTCTCAAGTCAGAGTCATCCTATAGCCCTCACAGTACCACTCAGAAAGGCCAGAGAGAAGGTAAGAGGGCCCTGAGGCATGAGCTGAAAGATAGCAGGGCACAACTGAGTAATACTTTACCATGCTGTTTCTGTGACTAAAAATATGAATTTCTGGGGAAGAAGGAGAAAGGTAAATTACAGATTCTCTTAATTACAACAGACTCGAAAGCATTACTGCCAAACTGCCTTCCATTATTACTGAGATTAATCAGGCCAGTGGCAGGGGCCTTACCACATGGGGCTGGTAAGGTTGCCTTCATTATTACCCCAGAGACTTACATTCCATCACTAAGAGGAAAAACAGAAGCCTTGGCTAACTGAAGACTTTGCCTACTGGCCAAGGATGCCATCCATACCTCCACGTATCTGCTTTATTGGATGGGTCCAGTAACCACAGGCAAGAAAATGTAATATCTGCATATGCATATGCCTATAACACTTAAACTTATTGAAAAACATACTATATTCACAAATGTGAAATGAAAGTTTTTCCTTTAAAGCCTCATGCTATCTGTTCATCCATCATCTGAAATGCAATACCCTCCCAGTGAGCCCCATAAACAACTGAAGTTAGTATGAGGAAGGGAATCTGGAAATAAAAGAGCTCCTCCATCCAACAGCACCTGCCAAATGGGACTCCACTCCTCCATTTTCTTAAGCACACAGCCAGAAAGTTGTCTGAGCCACTGTCCATGTTTGGGGTTTGCTCACTTTGCACCCATTTTGGTTAGCATATTAACTAAGCAAACACAAAGTTGTGCCAAAAACCTGCTGATCAAACCATATTGTGCAACTAAATCTCTGAATAGGTGGCACTCACATAAATGACATTAGTGTCTCTACAGCAGTAAGATTAAGCACCTGATCTTCAAAGGCACGCTACTGTAGCTCACCTAGCAGGAATTTAATTCTTAGTTAAATATAAAAATAAAGTCTAAAAATAAAACAAGATGGATGATTTTGTGGGACAAAAGGCAAGCTTACGTTGGCCGTCGAGTCTCAAGTAAAGTCAGTAAAATCTGGATTGCACTGACTATGGCTGATTCATTCTTCTCCTTGTGAAAAATATTTGATAGAAGCTGCTCTATAATTTCTTGCCTGGAGAAAGAAATCAATAGTCAAGCACTGACTGCAGTGTCATTTAACAGTAACAACTAAAAAGATGCAACACGATCCCTATGAGCACTCATCCACACATGGGCATGTAGGCTTTCTACTTCAAATATCATTACTATTGCAATTCTTCTTATACATGAAGTTTATCCCCTTTACAAGGAGAAGGGAGGCCCTGATTGCCTTTGTTAACCTTGCTGAGAAGCAAAAAATATTTCAAGGCAAGGTGTGATCTACTCAAAGCAGGGTACTGGTACTGTGACAGCTGATTGATGGTGATGACAGTATAGACTTAGAACTTACCACTTCCACAAAAGAAGGAAAAGTTTTCCAAAAGATAGATTAGAACCCACTCATTTTTTCCACACAGGTATGGCTGCTGTGTGATTACCATAGATCCACAACAGGTAAAATAGGCCATTAACCACTGACATGTGCTCTACAGTTCTCAAATTGTAAGTCAGTAGAAACATCACTATAAAGGTGTGTGAAACACCACTTAGTGGTGTCACAGCAGCTTAAGGATAAACTAGAGCAGTGGTTCAACTTTCCTAATGTTGCAATCCTTCATTTCCTCATCTTGTGGTGACCCTCAATCATAAAGTTATTTTCATTGCTACTTCATAACTGTAAATAAATATTTGGTTTGAGCCCCTGTGAAGGTGTCATTAGAACGCTACCCCAAAGGGCATCAGGTTGAGAGCCTCTGGACTAGAGGTTTGGAGCTTTGCTTCTGGCAACTGTGTTCTTCAGTGGTGGCTTCACAGGTAGAATAGAACTGATACCTGTCTCTATCATGCACAGACGATGCAGGGCTTTCACAAGAAAGTTACTTTTAGAACCACTGAAATCTAATCGAAGGAAATGGCAAACACATCCTAACCATATTATGGCTATATCAACTTGGAATTCTGTCACATCAGAATTCTGATGGACAAATACAATGTAATAACCAGCAAAAACGCATGATTTAACAACACAGTATTGGTGCAATATCCCAACACCACTATCCATCACTTAGACACCAGTAGCAGGCATAGGACAGAATTTGCCACACAGGATGAGGGGACACCTTTCAGTATCTAGATTAGGAAGTGCTTTCTGATAGTCATGTTTACGTTTTCAAACAGGAGTGATATTAGCCAAGCATCAGTAAAACTCATGATGTGTTAAGCCTTCTTGATCATTCTTCCACATCTTTGGAACAAAGGCTTCTACTCATTGAGTTTTTCTTGAGTGGCTACAGAAAGACTATAAAACTAACTAAAACATATTAACAAAACTTCTGAGTTCATTGCTAGCTGTAATTAAGATACATAGCCTAGCCCAAATAGAACTATTTTAAAGAATTTGAAATTTTTAATTTAAAAATCTTCAGAGATACTAGCTAGAATGCTATTAATTTAGGCCCCAAACTTCCTCCTTAACTTCATGGTACTTCTCTCAAGCACTCCCCAACTTAGGCCCATTCAAACCCATCCTTGAGCACCTTTCACTTGTGACATACATATACAGTGGTACCAAACACTGGGTTATTCAGCAATCTAATACAAGGAATTTTCTCGTATGCCTCACCAAAAGACTGGCTCTCTGATATCACTATTAGTGAAACTGCACTATTTGATCATTAAATGTAGACAGTGTGGTGGTTTGAATGAAAATACCCCCCATGGGCTCAGAGGGAATAGCACTATTTGAAAGGATTAAGAGGTGTAGCCTTGTTGGAGTAAGTATTTCATTGGGGGTAGGTTTTGAAGTTCCAGAAGCCTATGCCAGGTCTAGAGGCTCACTCTCTCTTCTTGCTGCCTGCCTATCTGGATGTAGAACTCTTAGCTACCAAGTCTGCCTGTGTGTTCCCATGTTCCCTGCCACGAGGAAAATGGACTAAACCTCTGACATTGTAAGCAAGCCCCAATTAATGATCTCTTTATAAGAATTGTCATGGCTGTGGTGTCACTTCACAGCATTAGAACACTGGCTAAGACAATGTATTTTTATATACTGTTACCTAATGTATTAACCAAACATGTGAATTAGGGGACTATAGTTAATGGAGAATTTCTAAGTTCACAGCAGTCATCTATTACTGTGTTTTCTCAATCCATAAACAATGAAAGAACCAGCAGCACAAAACTGTTAAAGAATAAAAATAATACAAAGGGGGGGGGGCGTAGTTGTCTCCCTCTGCTTCCTGATGTATGTGAAATAACCAATTACTTCATACTTCATATATTATGCCACCAAGATGTAAATAGTTTTTAATTTCAAACTATTTCAAATTAAACTCTTCATGCCTTAAGAGAGACAAGAGAGAAGGGGGAAAAGAGGGAGACAGAAGGAGAAATAATTCACCATTATATATGTTAGGTTTTAGGACAGAGTTATACCATATGCCACTATCTCACCTGGTCAATGTATCTGAAGAAATTGACTCTAATGAGTATTGATATAAATCATGACTATATACTTAACTTGATTTCAGAAGTTAGAGAGAACTAAAGTCACAGCTTGAAGGTTGGAAGCAAGCATATACATGGCTCTGGTGGTCCTATTCTGCAGCACTGGCTACTCACTACATGTGGCTACCAACTAGCAGTTAGAATATAGCTTACTGACTTTGACATGCTCTAACTTTAAGTGCCAGTTTTCAAGACTCCATATCTAAAAATTATTAAATTTATGCATTGCTTTTGTTGTGTGTCTATTGAGCAACAGCATTGTAAACCATATGAAATTGCTGATACTCAAAAAAAAAGGAAATGTTTTGTTTTTTGTTTTGAGACATGGTCTCACTATGTAGCTCTGTATCCTAGAGCTCAGAAATCGGCCTGTCCATGGCCAAGCGCTGGGTTTAAGGGCACATGCTGCCACACCCAGCCAAACACTCAGAACTTTTAACCTCCTCAAATGGCAGTTTTACACAGCTCAGCCTAATGATCACTACAACTGGTAGTATCTGGATGTGGAAGATATGTTTTAAAGGAATACATATATAAAATGAGACGTAACACCAAGAACTACTACTGGAGAGTGGGCACTGTGCATGTGCCATTCTCTCCTTTGGCAACAAATCTGGGAATACAAATCAGCTTTCTCACAGACAGTTAACAGCAAGCTGTTTTGTCTCTGGTTTGGCCCTTCTGTCATACAGACACTTTGCCAAAAGATGCAGAAGAATCTCTTTGCATTGGAGGACTAAGAAGGGACACATAACACCATGATAGATAAGCCAAGAGCAGAAGACCAAAGACCACCATTGAGTCTAATGCTACCTGTGCACTCTTTCCAGATACTCTGCCACAGGAGAGCCTGCTTTTCTATAACACCAAGTTAACAGTGTGGACATAAGTCAGGGGCATACCCATGCTAACAACCAAAGTTCTTTCTGAAAATGTGAGAATCCTGGAAATCCAAACAGCAGCCAGTCCCTGAGGGACTTTTCCCTCAGCATGAGCCTAAACAAGGTAACTACTCAGGCAGCCTGAGTCAGCTGCAAAGACACAGTAGACTGAGGAAGATCTTCAGAAGAAACTGACAACTTAAATGGAAGAAAGGCATACATAAAGAAGACTATTTAAAAACAAAAAAACCCTTCAAGTCATGGTGTGACTGTTTCACGTCAGGATGGCTCTGTAAAACTCAGCTTTGCAGGCATAGAGAAGTTGAAAGTCCAAGTACACATGCCACTGGTTCCCCTTCTTGCTCTTTCGGTCTCTACTGTGTCACAAACAGTGGAAGAAGAAAAGCAGGCTTTCCTGCTTTGCATAGGGTTTTCATAACACAATGCCCACAAAGGAGCATTTCACTTACCAGTCACTCACAATGTTAACACATCAAACAGCATCAATGAGGAAAGTAAGAACCAAGTGGTAAACATACTTTTCTAGAGTGGCAAGCAGGGGATCTGGTTCTGTACTGTTCTGAACTTGTAACATCTGGTCTCTGCTCAGGCGAACAATTTCACAAAGTGATTGTGAGGCATTTGAATGTCGCTAAAGGAAAAAGGTACAATTTTAGCTATAGAACTTGTTAGAAGTTAATTTTATAGTAAAAAGTGAAGGGAAAAATTGCTTGAGTTAAAACCATCTATTAGCTTCAATGAGCACATGTAGCCCCAAAGAAAAAGACGGAAGCATTTGACTGCCGGGCTGATAAGCTTCCCTTCCACAACTGCACAGTGTAGATCACCATGTATATAGAGGTGTGAGCAAAGTTTGATATGGACAAATGTCTTTGGCTAAATATTTGGATAAAAGGTATCCCACACACATACCTTTATTAGACAGACAGATACACACACTAGTTCAAATATTGAAAAAACAAAACAAAACAAAACTAATATAGCTTTGTGGAAGACAGAAGGTAAAGTGTCCATCTACCTTTCTGGGAAGCTCTAGCCTCAGCATTCATGTCCTGTGGGAAATGGTAACATTCCAGAAGACTACATTCTGTAGAGATAATACATTCTGGGAATCCATACCCACAGACTAAAATTAATAACAACACCTTTAAAAATGATTATTAACCACCCACTTCATGTGTGTTTCTTTTAAGATAAGGTCTCAAGATGTAGCATAGGCTGGCCTCCAACTTGTGCAACTCTCCTGCTTTAACCTTTCGTATTTGCTGGGATTCTAGGCAGGAGTCACCAAGCTAGTCATGCTTTGTCCTTCTCAAAAACTGTGTTGTAGGCTGGAGAGATAGCTCAATAGTTAAGAACACTAGCTGCTCTTCCAGAGGACCCGGGTTTGATTCCAAGCACCTACATGGTGGCTCACAACCATTGATAACTCCAATTCTAGGGGATTGACACCCTCTTCAGGCCTCTGTGGGTACCAGGCATGCCTGCAGTACACATACATAC